GCCCCCTCAGCTCCCACCCTGCCTCAGCATGAGCACCAGCCCCCCCTTCCTGGCCCCCTGAAGGCTGCAGTCCCCAACCTGTGGCTCCAAAAGGGAGGTAAAAGGAGGAAGGAGATATTCCTGGACCCTTGTGGCCTCCCCTCAACCTCCATGGGCAGAAAGGCTGGGGGTCAGTTGGGTGATCTCCATATGCTAGAGGTGACAGTCCCCACCCTTAACTTTGGTGAGAGAGCAGAGGCTTCTCCCCCCACCTCCTGCATCCCACCCTAGCCCCTAAGTACAAGGTGTAAATTAGCCCAAAGCTGCAGCCGCCAGGGGCCCCTGGGTGCCAACAAGCCCAGGCATGGACTACTGGGAATGAATCTTAGCCACAGCAGACAAGAGGCTTAAGGAAGGACAGGCTTGGGTTCCCAGAGGAATCTCTCCTCGGACCTCTGTGCCCTTGGGGACCTGCCTTCTCTGTCCAGCAGTGTGAAGGGCCTGCTTCCAGCTGTCTGTCTGGCTCCCGTTCCAGCACTGGCTCCACGAGCTCAGGAGCCAGAGCCTGCCAAGGCCGTTTCTGCAGCTGGACAGGTGGCAGATGCCCCACTTCCAGGCACGACTGCCCAGATATCTGTGTCCTTCCCCAGGCCTCACCCTGCACCCCCACTGGGGCCAGGACTGTGAGTGAAGTGCGGGTCACAGTCTGGTGGTTCAGCCTCCTCAGCTTGGGCTGGCTTTGCTGGTCTGTGCAGTTCCCCTCGTCTCTGGAGAAACTGGAAGATCTGGCAGCTCTAGTCCCACATTACTTGATAGCCCTGAGCCTAGATCACCACAGTCCCCACCAGCCCCAACTATCTCCCACTGGCCTACTTCCCTCATTGCATTGCCCTCCCAGCCCCACATACATGAGTTTGCACACCTGAGACCGAGGGAGAAAATGAATGGGAGGAGCAGGAGGGAATCGGGTGACACTGCTGTGGGGCCCAGAGTGGGTAGGACTGTACCCCCTGGGCATCAGGCTCAGCTACCTGGGCATGCAGAGGACTCTCCTGGGGCACTGGGACTAAAGCCCTGGCATTGAATCAGGCCACAAGCCCAATCTAGGATCTGGAGGAGGCAGGTGGGGCCTCTGTCCAATGGGCCATGTGTTGGGGC